TTTCGTTCGTACCTGCGACTTATCCGAATTCACTTAGAAGAGAGCCGTAGTCCTTTGTTCTAACCGTTAATTATCTGCATTATTGAAGAGATAAATTAATACGTACTATCATCTTTAGCAAGATATTCCGTCAGCGTCGTTCTTTTCTTCTCAATATCACCAGAGACACAAGACACAAGACGTTACACGTTTAAAAGTTATTTTTCACTGTGGATTTCTTATTTTTCAAACAGGTAAATAATATTGTTACGGTACGTGCATTATTTCTAGGCTACTGAGCTATACATAAATGCCCTACTTTTTGCGATTTACTTTGTACATTATCTGTTTAAGTCTTTCTCTACGTGCTTGTCGTGCAGTGTTAGACGAGTTTAAAAGAAAAAAAAAATTTTTCTACCATTGAAGTTTCTTAGGTTCTTTTCTCCTTCATTTTTGTATAGAAAAATGTCTGAAGTTAAAGAGAAAGAAGGAAAATGGACGCAGGACAATGTGAAAGGGACTTTGAAAATGCTTCTCTAAAGAGAAAATTACTACAAGGCAGATCGCTGAAGCTTCCCACCGTTCCAAGAGAAAGAAAATCAGTTATTTTGCTATCTGTGATATTTGTTCGAATAAAAATTTTGTTCCATTTAAATGTTTTTTTCATTGATATTGTTAACTATATAAATCTTAAAATCTGGTATTCAAGTAGATTTCTGATACGGGATGACAATTTTTCGCACGTTGCGAATCACGACTTCTCCATTTGTGCAAACTAATCCTTAAAATATAAAATTTGAAGAAAATAATTACTCTCTTATTCCTGCTGTAAATTTCTTTCTTTAAAGTTTGATTTTTGTCAACCAAGAATTGATCAAGTATGTGTAGGCTGGCCATTGAAAAACTGAAAAGTTTGAAAAAAATCATAACTTGTTCCAATCTTTTTTATTTTTAGTTTTTCACGCATAATATTGAAAAAGATACATTAATTATATTTCCAAATAAAATAATAAAAAGTTTAAAAAAAAGTTTAAAAAAAAGAATATCTGTCTGTAAAAGTTATTTTTGTTTAATCTCTTGCGCTGGAATGACGTGTCCGCGCGTCTTTTGTAATTCCCAAGTTGCAATATTTTTTCAGTTTTAAGTATATTTACATATAAACCCAGGCAAAACAAATAATAAATTTATTACTTCTTAGTAATAATTTCTATCCAGTGATATCATACCGACGAGTTCAAAAAGAAAGCGGCGGATTATTGTGTACGGTTTGGTCACTCGTTATGGTCCGCAAACCAGTTGCCAGCGCAAGGGGTTAAAATCTTGATTTGAAGTAGGTTAGAATTTTACACGACAAAATAAATTGCAATATTTTCTTAGATTTAACTATATTTAAATACAAAAGGGTAAAACAAATAATAAATTTATTACTTCTTAGTAATTCTATCCAGCGAAAGAAAAAGCGACGAATTGTGGCACACAAGTTTGGTCACTCGTTATGGTCCGCAAACCAGTTGCCAACGCGAGGGGTTAAAATCTTGATTTGAAGTAGGTTAGAATTTTACACGACAAAATAA